CAGCTTTGGGCAAGATTTTCTTTTTTGATCTTTGATCGTTTGCTTTCAGTTTCACTCACGTAACAATTCTTACCTTTGCTGACTAATAATTTCGCAAATGGCAGAGATGGGTGGTAACTGCATTGTCCAGTTCTTTGGGGAGGAATTAAGCAACGACTTTGTCATGTGTCAAGTTTGTCATTCTCATTACAGAATTAGAATCCTGCTCATTTCCCAGAATTCATCCGGCAGCGACGACCGATTGTCTCCATCTTCAGCCCTGTCTCCTGCTGCAGAAAACCGGGTTTAGTCATCAGGGGAGTTTAGCTGTAATTTATCAGATTCATCTCCTCGGGTGGTGCACAGTTACTCACCGAGCCCAGTTGGGTCTTCTCTAGGAGAAGGGGAGGAGGGAGAGTCGGGGGGGAGGAGGTGACACGGGCACCTGTGATGACATTTTCAGGGCGATGTAAAGGTTTGTCATTTATCTGTACGATGGTACCGTGTCACCTGGTGCGCTGTTGTTATGGTCCTGAAGAAGTCTTTCTGTACATATTATGACACATTTTCACTTTGTCATAACTTTGATGGCCTGTTTGGAGACAAACGCTAAATAAGTGGAATGAGTTTTCAGGGTTTCTTCTCTCTTTCACTTAGACTATGGTTTGGCATCATTTAGAAAACAGTTCCCTGGAAATTATGAGCTCTAGAATGTTCAGAATCGAATGTGTTTCTCGCTACTTTAATGTGCTTTACATATTTTAACTCCCTCAACAAATGTGTGGTTTATTTCAGTTTATATTCATAGAAAATTTAGATATTGTTTTCTGTCTTTTTTTTTCCCTTTATTTATCAGGAAAATAATTATCGTTTACGTTAAAATTATCATTGTTTTAGTTGATCTGCTTCCATTTATTACTACAAAATTCTGTGAGAATCTAAAAATCTCGGTCAAAAATCTGTCCCAACTGAATGAAGTAGACTTGATCTAAGAAGTTTGGTTGTGAAAACTTAAAACTAACAGGTGATGAGGATTTAATAAATAAAAAATAACATAAAACAATCTGAGCAGATGAGCTTGGAAAAACTATTTTTGTCAAAAACAGACCTTATTTTTGGGGATACCATTGATTACATTTAACAGTTTGATTTATTCTCACAAAGTGTGTATTTCTCAAGCGACACAATATTTGTTTTTCCTAAAATACAATTATGTATCGACTCGTCTCCGCCCTGGTTTTTGTCTCCGATATAATCTCTATTTCACACTCATTCTCTCGCGGTTTACTTGCACCTTATCTCAGAATCAAGATTCTCTGGGTTATTTCTGCCTGAGTGAAGCCTGACTCTCCCCTCGGTTCTGCCAGCAGTAATCTGCCATCATGGTCGCTGCTCTGCGCACGGCTAATTGGATAATATGGTGCAGAGGAGGCACTCAGCAAACCAGGGGATTCCCTTCATCACACACACACACACACACACACACTCAGACACACACACGGTCTGTGGGGAGAGGCATGAGGAGAAAGAGTTGTATTGTTTTTAAGTAGGAATTCAGGTCCGACATTTGGTTCTGATTTCTGCATTCTTTCTTTTTGGTATTTAAACTTACAGGATACTGGTACGGCAAATGTGGAGGCAGCTTTGGGAGAAGTTGAAAAACCCCCTCAGACAGACGGTTGTATTTAGAGTTTCACATGGAAAACCAGCAGCTGCTCCTGTTGGAGAAGCTGCTTCACTGACTTCATTACATTATCAGTTACAATAACGAGGGACCGGGACTGGGTGTGTGACACACAGTCTGGCCTCAATTGACCGGGACTGGGTGTGTGACACACAGTATGGCCTAAAGCATCGTTCATAATGGTTTACTGCCGTTCTTACACTGGTCTCATGTAGTTAGAACGGTTTGTAAACAGGGGCTTTTGGCTTAAAATGTTATTTTTTAAGGGTGATGTGTTGGTCAGAGTTAAATGTGGGTTACATCGTTTGGCCCATTTTTTTAAATTTCTTTAACTGCATGTCTGTAGAGTTTACTTTTTAGGTCCAATACATAAGGATGAGATGGATTTTGTACAGGAACAATCTGCAAAAGAATAGTTTAAAATAAGCCGGTTAGTGAGGAATGGGTAAGGCTGAGAAAAATGGCAAAATAGATCATTGTTAAAAGCTTATATACATTTAAAAAATGAAACAGGATTTGATGGATTTACCCTAAAACGATGAGGTCACAGAGGAGTTGACCCCAGCTCTGGACCTTCATGGTGGACATGTCTGCTCTATAGGAACGTCTTTCTTTCTTTCTTACATTCCATCAACATAATGATGCTGATGTATCCTCCGTCAGCTTCCTCTTCCTGCAGGGATCTGCCTCCAATCACTGCTGTCAATTAGACCTTCTCCTTCTCCCGTGGACTTCTGCCTAATCTACTTTCTCCCTGAACTGATCACATTAAGGTTCCAACGGTGCCATCATGGTGGAGAACAGGGAGGGGGAGGAGGAGGAGGAGAGGAAGGAGGAGGTGATCCAGTGACTGGGAGGAGACTCCAACGACACACCGATGCCACTGTTCTGTTGTCAGGAGGCGGAGGATGATTTTCATCATCATCACGGACTTGGTCACAAACTCAAACAACAAAACCACATGGTGAAAAAGTCAGCGCTGCAACGACCAACAAGTGAAGGAGGAAAAAACACTGTAATTCCTCCTGCGTTAGAAAAGAGGACACGATATAATAAAAACCTTTGTCCATGAACAAATGGAATAAAATTGGATTTCCTTCATTGTGGGTCAAATAAAGAAAATATTACATTTGTCAATTCATTTGTCTTGCTACGATACCCCTGTAGTAGCTCCACGCCCCCTACATTGAGAACCATCGTCGCAGCAGGATAACGCTCTGACAGACTGATGAAACTTGACTGATTATCCATCGTAACTTCAAACCAGTTTGTATTTATTTCATTTATTATCCTGATGCATGGTTCGTGACAACGGCGTGATATTTAAAACACTCACTTCCTGCTGTATTTATTTTGCCGTAATTGGGTTAAATATTCAGAGAGTCTCATTACATCAAGTTAAGCATCTAAAGGTAAATGTCAGCCGAGGTTTAACAGATAAATTAAAAATAAATCAAACTCATATAATTGGAAGGAAAAAAAGATTTTTGCGCACATTTTTAAAATAAAATAATAAAATATTTCTATGACCTCATCTTTCTACATGAGGAGTTTACCACAACCACAAAGTTGGTGTTTAATGACCTGAAATCCTATTTTATATTAAAACCATTATTATCATTGTAATTGTTTGTTTGCTCACTGTAAGACCAGCCTTTTAAAGTAGTGGCACGCGGACCAAATGAGGCCCAGACAAAACCCTCAGAGCGGTCCATAGAAATATGACACGAAACCAAAAGTAACAGTAGGCAGGTAATCAAAAATTCAAACACAGCATGAATGCAACACTCTCTGTAGCTTAGCAACATACGGAGCACAATTTAGTTTTTGTTGTTGATGTTTTTTGCTGCTGAACTCCTTATTTTTTTGGTTTGTTTTTACGTACTGTGCTTTAACTTTATTGCTGGATGGATGGATGGATGGATGGAGTGAGTGAGTGAGTGAGTGAGTGCTGTATACGTCACAGATGATTCCTGTGCCGTCCACTCCAGCGCAGAGAGACTCCGACTCATCAGGGACACCGTGGGTGGATTCAGAGACACTTCAGCCGTCACTCTTTTGTGAAAGCCCTGCACCACCTGAAACAGAAAACAAACCGACAACCTCTCAAATGTGATTGTGCTTCTTTAAAGAGGTGTAACCTTCAGAATCGTTTGCATTTTTTTATTCAGACTCCAGCTCCCGTCCAGGTCCTCCGCTGGCAGCAGCAGTTTAAAAAAAACAAAAAACATGATTGATGATGACACTGACACTCAGTCAGGCACAGAGACAATCCAAGTGATAGATCACACTCTTGAAGTTCTCCCCCGGTTTTTGAAGTCACTCGGAGGTTTGTGGTAAACGTTTGTGGTTATTTCTCATTCATTTTATACAGATTTATATAGACTTATAGAAATAAATACAGTGTGAATTAGAGATTGTAGAAAATCAATGAAAACTAATCAGATCCATAGAAGACAAGGTGTGGTTTTAAATCAGTGAAATGGACAAAAACAAAAACAAAAAACAAACAATGTTTGAATTATTATTGAAATTAAACCCAAACAGGTTATTTAATCACGTCTGGTTTGTAAACAGTTACTGTGGCTCAGACCGACAGCAGATCAATAATCCAACGTCTGCTTTTGCCCACATGCCAATGTTATCAAATTATTTTGGCGCTCATCTGCTTCGTGTCTCCGTGTTGAAGGTGAGGTTCGTTCATTTTCTGTTAGAATTTCTCCAAAAAAGTATGTGTGGTACCGTCACTACTATCACTGACCCCTGAGCTTACATTTAAAGGGACAGTGACGGTTTCAGCACCGTCTCATTTATCATCTTCCTTTAAAACTGGTAGATTTGATGCATTAGTCAAGGCTGAAGACCTGCATGTGGCTCTGGAGCCACATGTTGGACCCCCTTAGTCTACAGTGTAGACTACAGATTAATTCTGTAATTAATCACTGCCTGATAAAGTTAATTATCTTTAAACTTCTCCTTCCTTTTCTGCCTTGTTTCTTCACTTTTCTATGACAAATCTGAAGTAAACTTTTGGACAAACTTTCTTTGTCTCAATGAGTCCTGGGGAAATGATGAGTCAACGGCGTCAACCTTGCCATATAAATCTGTTATGCCTACAAATACCTGGAAGAAAGCGAGAAAAAAAAAATCCAACTCATATCAACCCCATGTCTCTCTGGTTCCGAGCGTGCGATGACGAAAGCAGTGACCTGCTGACGTCTCAGGTCCCTGATTGAATCCGGTGTGCCCCCCCCTCCTGCCCCCTCCCCGCTCGGTGAGAATCAGCCAGGTGTATAAAACGGCAGCCGCGCCGACCGTGAGAGCAAAGACACGGTCAGAGTGAAGCCGCTCAACCACAGGCTGGACGTAAACAACGGACAGGAGATCAGGACCTTGGAGAGCGCACAGACGAACCAGCCAACCGCCGGAAACTTCACCCAAAGCATGTAAGAATTTTAACATTTACACCTAAACGATGTGAAGATTCGTGTTGATCCATTTTTTTTCTTACTTTTGAAACAGTTCTAGAACACTTTTTCACCACAGAGTTTTTTCCGGGCGCATTTGGATTCGCGCTCCAGTGTTTTTGGTTTCTACCAGGTTCAGTTTCTTCGCGCCGTAGTATTCAGTAAATTAGTACGGGAGTGAGTAATAACAGTAAATATCTTTATTAAGGCAACAAATTAAGGCAACAGGTATCCAGTTACGCATTGGATTCCCGTGCGTAATTACGCATCTAAACCTCAACTGTCAGATATTAATTATAGTTTTAATTTTTTTATGATGAGAAATGACATTAAAGTTGAAGTTTGATGATAATTTTGACTCGTACTTTACAAATTTACATCACATAATTTGCGATAACCATTCTTTGCGCCGTGCGTAATTACGCACTGGAACCGGACAGTTATTTTTCTTTTAAACTCCCGAAAATAAATATTCCAACCATTCCATGAAATAATCCAACTTTATATTTTGTATTTGTGGATAATGAGTGCATTTCGTTTTGGTGTGTTCCGCCCATGAACTCGCCCCAGACTCCAGTGCGCATTTCGTTTCCAAATTGTATTTGTGGATAATGAGTGCATTTCTTTTTGGTGTGTACCGCCCATAATCTCGACCCAGACTCCAGTGCGCATTTCGTTTTCGCGTAAAAACGCATTTAATTTAACTTCGCTGTTACGCGTTTTGTTCCGTAATAAAACATGATGAAACGATGCGCTTTCCCCAAAAAAACGTCTTGTTACCTTGTTAAAATGCCTGTTGTTAATAACTGTTGGAAGTTACTTGCACCTGGTCGCACCGCAGACCTGATCAGCCGCTCGTCTCCACCCGCAGGTGTAAAGCCATGTCACAGCGCTCCGGCCCCCAGCTGCTCCTCCTCATAGCCCTGTGCAGTGTGCTGTACTCCCGGACTCTGGGTCTGCCGTACACATCTATGAGGTGAGAGGACAAATCAATGACTAACACAGGAGGCAGAGGTTGGTTTAAGTCGACCAGACTCCGGGTTCCTGCTCGGGACAATTCGACCCTAATCGAAGCTGCTTCCAAACTAGACCACATTAAATCTGATTCGATTTCTGGTTTTACTGGTGTGGACTTCGCGGACCTGAGTTCAATTCTGTTCCCTGTGGTTCCTATCCCCGCAGACCAACGCGACACGCAGACGGTCTGTTCACCAGTGGATACAGCAAACTCCTGGGGCAGCTTTCAGCGAGGAGGTACCTGGAGTCCCTGATCGGAAAGCGGGTCAGGTAGGTGACCTCCACCCGGGGTGGTCAGAGCTCCGGAGTTCATTTATTTAATTTGTAATAATACCAGCAGCACAGTCAGGGAGGAGTGAAAACATCATGATCACACAACATGTGCAGACATATACTGCAGACCTCCAATACATAATTATCACCAACAAATGAACAAAACACATTTTCCATATGAAGAAGAGAGAAGTCAGAATTGTCAGGTCAGGGTGAGAACTACACTTTATACACATTTCTACAATGAAAGATTGACATTTATTTGTTGCATCTTCATGTTCTATCAAATATTAGAGGATCTAAATGAAGTCATCATAATAAAAATAAAAGCTTTTACTGCCATTTTTCAGCAGAATCACACAGAATCATATGAGGCCCAGAAAGAACAAACATAGTGACATTTACCACCAGAGTGAAGTCTGTCTGCCTGACGAGGCAATGTCAACTCAGCTAAACATTTTTAAAGGTTAATGTTTCCCATAAACAACATGAAGCCAGGAGACATTAAATGAATCAGAGATCCTGAGCTGCTCTGACTTTGTCCTGAAACCTGTCGCCCCCCCCCCAAACCCCCCCTTCCCATGTCCGGTGATGAGCTGATGGAGGAGCCGGTGAAGCGCCACTCAGACGCCATCTTCACAGACAACTACAGCCGCTTCCGCAAACAGATGGCCGTCAAGAAATACCTGAACTCAGTGCTAACAGGAAAGAGAAGGTAAGAAACGAAAACCTCCTTCAGACAAACAGTTCCACAATAAGTCACCGACTCAAATAATTCACTTCCCAGGAACATATTTATCAGGGTGTGGTTAGAGCTCATCATGTGTGCTCACCCTGATTGGACAGAAAACTATTATTTATTTACTATTAATAATTTGCCTTTGTTATATGCAACAGTGGCAAGCAGATCAATTAAATAAGCTTCCACTAGATGGCGACAGATGGCAATAAAAACAAAAAACAGATAAAGACTCAGCTGTTGAAGAGCTTTCTTCAATTCCTGTCTTTATATCAGCCATGTGTTAAACTAAACAGGCCCAGGTTTCACAGTGAGTGAGTAAATCCAAAGCAAACTAAAACTCAAAGATCATTATATTACATACAATTTTGGACACTTTTTGGTGATGCACAATGGGATTTTTCTCATGTTCCGTGACTCAGAAATATTGGAAAAATTTCTTATGATCTATGAATCTAGAACCGACATTTACCTTAATTTTTTTCTTTAACTGCGCCATAAATACGTGTCAATTCGTTTTCGGTGTTTGAACATATATTACTAAGGCATGTATGTGTTGACATGCAGCCTAGAAGATCCTGGAGCCAGCGACCCAGAGGAGCCCAGGGACGACCCGAGCGCTTTCCAGGAGAGCTACGACGACATTAACGTAGATCACCTTCTAAACAACTTCCAGTTGGTAATTATTCTCATACTGTACTCCACATCTGGACAGTGGATTCATGTAGTTATTTTAGTAGTTTATATTATCACCCAACAGAGTCGTCTGGAGATATTTCACTGGCTAATACAAATACTTTTTTTCTGTCTCCTTCCCGTGTTCCTCCATCTGTTCCCCTTCGTTCTTCCTCCTGATCTTACGTTTTTTTTCTTCATTCATTCATCATTTGCTCTTTTCTCCCTCCCTCCCTCCCTCTCTCCCTCTCCACCTCTCCATTTCCCTCTTCGCCTTCCTGTCTCCTCCTTTTTTCCCTCTTCAGCCTCTTTGAGGAGAAGCCTGTGTTGGAGAAAGTTCCTCGCCTCCGTCATCAAACTGTCCATTTAAAAACAACAACAACAACAACAACACTGCATTATCCAAAGGACAAAGTCACTTGAAGCACTAGTAACGATGGTAACGATGATGATGATGTATATTCTGTTCTTCTCTGTTGTGTTTTAGATACATATATTCACAGTACTAATCTGAAGTGAACAGTTCCACCCAAAGACTTAAATACCGTGTGTGTCCACGTCGGTCGGTCACAGTTTGGAGCTGACGTCAGGCTGCAGCGGCGGTCTGAAGTGAAGAGTCAACTCCGTGTTTCATTCTCTCTAAAGTTCACTGTTAATTTCTCTAACGTTTGGAGCTGTCAAACATTTCACCGAACAACACGTGCTCTCACCGTTGAGTTCAATGAATGTTGATGTCGTGTTATTTTTTATTTTTTCACTATTTGAGTCCAACGATGTGTTCGAGGACGCTGACATTTCTTTGACATGATGCACTATAGATTTCTTTTAAATAAATAATCAAATAACTGAAATGAATTCATGTTCCAGTTAATACAAGGTTTAAATACGGAGAAAAGGATCAAGTCTTTGTTGACGTCTGGTTTGATGACTTTGTAAAAAAAAAAATTAAATAAATAAATAAAGTGTAGCAAAAGAATCTGGCAGAAAAGAAGTTCAAATTGTCTCAGACATTAAATTTTCAACAAAAATCTTGACTTTAAAAAGTATATATATATATATATATACATACATTCATTAATAAAATAACTAAGAATTACATTAGTCTATATATTTATATCATCTACTGTCACAGACACGTTTAACATTTTAACAGCATTTTTTTAAATTGAACTCTGCTCTCATTTTCCCCACTGGAGACTCAACATGACAATTATAAAAGACATAATCATATAAGAGGAAGATGAGGAGGAGGAGGAGGAGGAGTGTCAATGGGAACACAAATAAAAAGAACACAAACGTATTTAATCACTCTGTACTCTTCAGTCATGTAGAGCAAAGACGTTCTGTGCACAGACCTGCTGTGGTTCATATAGTGATGTCCAACACTCATCCAATAAAAGATGTCGGTTTATTTTTCAAAGCTGAGTGGTTTCGTCTGACTCATTGTTTGATGTCAGTCATTTGCTGATGTCGATCTGATCAAGGACTCAAATGCAAACTAATTGCAAGGTTCAATGGGTGACCAATCATGCAGACCTCACCCAAACTCCCCCCAAAACTCCCCCGGGGTTTCCCCGTCTTCCAGAGAATGGCCTGATTTCTTTTTATTTTCTTACACTCATGCGTACATGTAGTTTTCAGCACCTCGGACAGCTCAACCACCAGCGTTGGCGCTTTTGTCGTGTATCAGCACCATGGACAGCGATAATGACTGAATATTCTTTTTTTTCCAGATTAGTGGGAAAATATCTTACAAAACAAAATCTTTATAATAAAGATAATTTGTTTAAAGAAAAAAATGCAAAATAAAATGTTGTAACAAGAGCAATTTGATAATAACGTCAACATCACTTCAGGTTCAGCCATTTCTGAACAACTGTTTTCTGCTGTTTAGTCAACGTGTATCTGCTCGGACTTCGGGTCGTGACTCACTGTGTTTACAAGGGTCCATCAAAGGTTTGACTCATAAATGTCATGAGCAATTTTCTGCAGGGCTGCTTTGTTATCATCATCATCATCATCATCATCTGCTGAACTTATTAAAAGCAACAGTGTCAATGTGTCGACTTGACAAACAGGAGGCAGTGTTACATCAAATACAAAGTATTATCTTTTCATTAGACGAGCAACAAATTTCTGGTGTTAAAAGATTTTTTTAGATTTTTAGATGATAAAATGTGATTAAGATTTTTAAGATTCAGACAGTTTCTCTTGTCCATATTAATATAAATAAAACCAACGTTAAGACTTAACTTAACCCTGTGTGTTTGATGCTAAAACTAAAGAAAATACATCCACACACCAGACCAAGAAGGCGAGCCAACTAACCGCCCAGTTTTAGACCTGTTGTGAGCTCAAGAGTTACTGATTTCAACACAGTATTCTGTAGGTGGAGCATGAAGACAGAGGAGAAGAGAGGGGAGGGGGGGGGCAGACGATCTGAAGAAAGAAAGAACGGTTCTTTAAAAAGAAGAACGGCAGGTTGAAGCGCACGCAGCATTTTACGTAATGCACTGAGGAAAGATTTTCACATGCAGGTGAAAAACTGAAGCTTTTAATAGGACATGCAGTAAACAGAGTGATTCATGTTTGCTGCTGGCTTCAAACATTCAATTATTACTGTGCAGAAATGACGGGGTTCACTGTGTGTGTGTGTGTGTGTGTGTGTGTGTGTGAGGGTCTAAAACACTGGTAGATGCTGCCTGTTTTTGTTCATTTACTCTCATCACTGCTGATCTTAATGGACCAAACAGAGTAAAAACGGAAAAAAGCACTGTTGCCTCTCAACAGCCGTGAGTGTGTGTGTGTGTGTGTGTGTGTGTGTATGTCTGGTACAGCTATACTTGTGGGGACATTCTTTGGAAAACATCACTGCCCAATGTTAGTAAATCTCTTTCTATTCAGGGGAAAGTGATTCATTTATGTTTTCTACAAAAACCTATTTTTGTGCATTTTCTGTTTTTGTTTTTTTATTATTTTATTTTAGTCCAGAACCTGAATGAGACAAAAGTTCTACTTCTACTAGACTGACGCCATCGACTCGTTGCTCTGTTTCACTGCAGCTCCATGCCTGTCTGTTCTTCCTCCGCCTTTAGGCTCAAAAAAACTACTCATGCAAAAAGTGGAAACTCTGGATGATGAGCAGACTGTAATGTGCCGGGAGAGGTGACAAAAAAAAAAAAAATTAAAAAGATGCAGTGACGAGTTAAAGCTTTAAAACTGTGGCATGGCATCTGTGAACGTCATTACTACACTGTGTTCGACACTCACTGACACACACACACACACACACACACAGGTGGAAGCCACCTCTAATGACTTTCACAATTAGGAGAAGCTGTGACGGCGGTGGAGCCGTGTGTCGCTGCAGCAGCAGATCAATAAATCTGCCCGATAAATGATGCTGTGTTTCTGAGGGAGAGGAAAAGGCCAGAGAAGGGATTCATCAGCAGCAGTGACGGCTGACGCTGTACAAAATCACCCACTTAGTTCCATCGTCATGACATTTTCTTACATGTTCAGTGTGAGGCTGCTCCACCTGTCGTTCACCCTCAACCACTCTGTCTTTTCCTGTTAGCTCAGGTTGGACCTCAGGGGTTTTTTGAACGCCATCAGGTAGAAAGCGTTGTCTAGGAGAGGTCGGATTTGTGATCAAAGGATGTTGGTTCAAATCCCAAAAGGAAAGATTTTTCCTAACTGTACTCTTCCACAGGTTTTTTTTCTTTTCAACGTCACAGGAAGTCGTGTTGAACAAGACGTGAACATAATTCACACGTAACAGCAAGTGTCGTTATGACATCATCTCTGCTGTTGCACAGGGAGGGGGCGGGGCATGGGCAGGGGGAGACAGGAGACAAATGGGTCAGGCTGCAAATGTCAGAGGTTCCCGTCTAATGTCACTGATTCTCTCCATAACTCACCCAAACAAACCACAACAAGACTGAGGCTATTTTTGTCACGTCTGAGGACACGGAGTTCTGACAGTAATAAAACTAAAAAAAAAGTTTCCTAAAATGGAATAACTAGCCTGGATGTTAACATCACAATGTTTTCAGACAGTTTTATTTCATGCTCAAATGTTATTGCAAGTACAATGCAACACACCCAATGAACAAAAATCCCATGCACTGACAGCCACATACCTCTGGTGTTCTCAGTCCTTGTTGTCCCCAGTCGTACAGATCTTGGAGTAAAACCCAGGTTTTCTGTTTGGTTTTCTTTGCCCCATGTGGTAACTGCCTCCAGCAGCTTCTTGTGTCTGGAATAGTTGAACAAACAAACGTCTCTATGTCTGTATGGCTGAAATATAGTAGTGAAATTTCACAAAGTCTGCAAAATATAAAACATTATTATTTACTTTTCATTTTTTAAAAACCCTGCTGTCTGATATACGTACTGCAGCTGTGCACGGCTGATTAGTGAGGTCAAATATTTCAGGTGAGTACTGTCATGTGACCTGTCACATGATGAGCATTTTATTTATCAAAAAACGTGTTTATTTATTTACGTTTTATCAATAAGCAAAGATTTAAAATAATTATAAATCTACTACAGTACATAATGGGTGTCAGCATGTATCCCCGCCCACAGTCAGTGTGGACAGTTCTCCAGCACTGGGATTGGCTGCAGCTCCCCCCACCACCCGTATCGTTAGCCTAGCCTAACGCTAGGCTAACGATATGACCAACTAAATATGAACTATGATAGGGCATTTACAGTAGTGTTAGTATATCCAAGTCTGAGTCTAAATGTAGATTAGTAGAGTTATGGTAGAAATTAATTTAAACTGGAGTCGATGTGTTTTAAAAGTAGCCAAGTATTAGCCAAAATACAAGCAAGATGCACATTAGCTTATTCAAAATGTCCATGAGTTTAGCGTTGATAGCTGTGAAGCTAAATACAATAACAGTAGAGTCAAATGTCTAAATACAAGCGCAACAAAAAATATTACCTTGAGATATAAAGTAATTTGCCAAAACTCTTTTAAGACAAAAGAATCACGTTCCAAAGTATTTTACTCCAATAGACGCCAAAAACAATGCTGCCCTCTAGCGAAATAAGCCGGGACATGACGGTGAATAAATAAAGACCAACGAAACAGTCTTAGGTTTTAGATGTTCATGTATTTACATTTACAGCACATTTAAAGAACCTTTAAAGACAGTCAACATTTATTCAAAAATATACATTTAAATATATACATGTACACAATACTGTTTAAAAGGACATTGCACAAATTAAAGCCATTTCATTTTTAAAACAAAATAAAAACACGTACAAGTGTAGCAGTCAGCATTTCTTTTCTGTGGACCTCAGATTCTCTTGTTGCTTACAGACAACAACTATTTTTGACCTGAGGACGATTTCTCTGATTGTCCCTGTTTTGATTTTATGAAGTGCTTTGCTGCGGGTTTTTTTCAATATATATATATATATATAAAACCTCCATTTTGTGTCCATGTCTGAACACACACAGTACAGTGAAGGACACTCAGTGTCTGTTAAAACAGAAAAACAACTTTAAAAACTAATAATAAATGAAGTGAACTTGTCACAGGCGTCGGAGGTTTCTTTTGCTGCGGGCACTTCCGGGTAGGATCGGTGTGGTTTTGAAGCCGAGGAAGTCGGACTTGGGCTGCACTGTTCTGCAGGCTGTGGAGCCGTGGAAGGCCTCCATGCAGCAGGTGCAGAAGTCGAACATACAGCTGGGACGAGTGCACTTGGCTCTCTGCGTCTCCGTGGAATGCGTGGCAGGAGAACCGCAGCGTTTGCACGAGCGCAGAGACTCGTGCTGCTTCAGACCGGTGGCAGCCTGGAGAGAACGGAACGAACAGATGCAGGTTAGTTAGAGCTGAGATCACAGCACGTCACTTCATGGTGTGTGTTAATTCGTTTTAATTAGAACAGTTCTAAAACTGTGGTACGTGTACCACCAGTGGTCGTCAGCTGAGGCCACCACAGCCTCTGGCATTGATGGGAGACACTGCTTCATATCCAAACACTCACCTGCATGAAATCCTGAAAGCGTGTACTTTGAGAGTTGTGTCTTGGGGTCTTCTGGCAGGATGTAGTTTGCCTGGTGACTCTGTAGTTCACGGAGGAGGAAGAGGAAGATGCGGCTGCTAGTGGAGTCGTGGTGGCACGTCTCTGTAGGCTGGAAAACACCACCCTGGGTATCGTCACGTCTCTGGTCAGAGCAGACGATTTCAAAGAGTTCTCTGACCCCTGAAAAACAAACGGAGAAAAGACTTCAGTCAGTTTTTGTTTTTTTTCCCAATCTTCGGAGAAGAATGTCTTCAATGGGAGTATCCTGGTTTAGACTTTGGTTTGTGTTCTCACCTTGAGTTTCTCCTCAGCCTTTTGGCATCTGTTAAAGGCCTTAGCATTTCCATCAATGATCCGTCTCCACGTCTTGCTGACTTTCCTACAGCTGTAAAATGAGCGAACGAATAAAAAAAACAAAACAAAAAACAGGAATGTTAAAGTTCTGGTGGTGTCATTTACTGCGTCTTAGCTGACGCCTGTCATCCTTCAGTTAACACTTTTGTGTCCTTCTGTTTATTTACCTCAACAGGTCCATGTCATCCAGCAAAGCCAGAATGTCAGCGAGGATGATTTTCATACTTCTGCACATCAGGGATGAAAAAACATCAACAAACTCGCAGCCCATCCGACCCCCGATCACCCGGTCCAGATGATGCTCCTCGGCCAGTTTGTCAACAACACTCCAGTCGTACCTGAAACACACAAAAATAAAACACGTTAAACTCATTCTGACACTAAATACAGACCAACATCATACCGGTCATTTTAAATACGATGGGGAAATTGTTTTTCAAAATAGAAGCATAAACTCTAACCTTTTAGTTTGCCGGTATCCCTTGGCCAGCTCTTCACAGACTGCCCTCTCGAAGTTCAGTATAGGCAGGTTGGCGTAACTGCTGTTATGAGACGGTGTGGACGACAGCAGTCTCCGTCTGTGATGTTCCACAGGAGTGCAGACAGCCCCCAGGACAGATGTGGAGACCACACCACTCTGGCACTTGGGGGATTTCTTAGGCGTCCGTGGCTTTTCCCTTCGAACAGGTGAGGTTGCCGTTGTTCTACCCTGGGTGTTACCTCCGTCCTCCTCATCTCCATGGTGCTCCTCAATCTGACTGCTGTGCAGCGACAGATATCCACTATCTTCAAACCCTTCATCTACAGTCCTGTCGTGCCCGCTGTTGGCACTGTTCTCCTTGTTGAACGAGGGTTTGGTGACGTCATTGAGGGAGAACACCACCGTGGTGGCTCCGGTAGGCGGACATGAAGGCTTGACGGGAGAGGGTTCCTTCAACGGAGAGGGTGGTTTGAGACGGAGCACCTGAGAGTCTGCAGCCGCGGCAGCAGCTGAGTTTTTCTGCGGGCTGTGGGCCTTGGTGACATCATAACGAGGGCATTTCATTGTGGCTTTAAGGAAGACAAACAAAGATCATGTGATAACCAATAATGATTTTGTCATAATATAACAAATAACACAGAAAAGTGACTCAAAATTAGTTAGAAATAAGTTTTAATATAGTAGTTTGTTAGAGACTTCCTGTTTCAGATAACCCTCAGATGAAATGATAATAAAATATTGGTCAAATTTAATGATAAATTAGTTTAAGGTCTATATTACTGTGTTTTCTTTTCTTAAATTAGTTTAAGGTCTATATTACTGTTTTCTTTTCTCTTTCTAAACTTAAGTAAAATATTGTGCGTAAAAGTTTGTTAAAAAGGGGGGGAACCCTTTCATTAGAACAAGGTAATAAACCAGAACACAAAAAGTAGCAGAGCCCTTCCTATTTCATATTTATTACACATTATAGTCTAAAAGTATAGATAATAAAAGCCCAGTTAATACAATATCTCATGCACAGAGATAATACACGCTGTATGCCTGGCATCTATACTATCAAACACCAGTATAACAAAAGCTACTACATATTCATTCACAACATTCACCAGTACATGACAACAACAACAACACACACACACACATATGAGCTTTCACATCGACTGTATAATCATGTGTTATAATATTAAACATGTTTAAGTTAAGATTTTGGCGCGATGTGAATTTGGCGGAAATGTGGTATCAGTGACGTGGACAGATTCCAGTTGCATTTAAGTTATTATCTATTCCATCCTTTTGTAAAAATGTTTTAGACACTGGCTTTAAATCGCTGCAAACATCTACTTTAAATTGCTGTATACATTTGTTTTATAACGTCGTGCGTGTAGTTCAGTGTCACACCACAGTGGCTAAACTTTATTATACGCACGTACTGTGTTTATTTCGTAGCGTGAATAGTAGAATGTTGAAATGATGCAGCTTGTAATTCTTAAAATGACTAAGTTTATAAAACAAACAGTCACGGCGCTTACGGAAAGAGATGGGCATCTAACAGAAAGCGGGAATTTACGCATGAATTTGAAAGAACAGTGAAGGCGCCCAAAAAAAGATCACGGCGCTTGCGCAGGGCTCCAATGTTGCGTTTACTGACCGTCATCATTAAACTCTAAAATAACCTCACCTAACAATGCATTACAAAATTAATACTTTAATTCAACTTTAACAAGAACAAACGAGAAAGTATGTTAAATATATGCAATGACACTCCTTGCAATGACACCACCATGTCACTACTGTCGTTACTTTTCAAACGGATGGGTTTCCTTGTGTTAATAATTCAAATGTCAAATATAATTATTAGCTGAAGCACTACTTTTTTTTGTTTGTTGCCATCATAAACGTTGGTTTTGACGGGTTTAATCCATTACTGACAATGGTAGGTGACGAATACACGAGTGAGCTAACAAGGCTAAAATATCGAGTGTTCGACAAAAGAAAAAGTGAAAAGTTTCAGATATAACACTTACCGCTGTTTTGCAAGTATTTTTCTCTACAGCAGACGGCCTCTATGTTCATAATACATGCGCCTCAGACCCGTACAACCAAAGATAAAATATCCAACTGTGGAAAGTCCGCCAGTTGCAGGCTGTTACATTTAAATCGCGGCGGAAAAAGCGGAATACCAATCACGGCGAAGAGTAACCATGTCCCTTTAAAAGGTAAACCAATGGGAGCCCAGTTTCTGAAGTCTGTACGTTTACGACGTGAATGTGACGTCACAATTTTAACTCCCCCAACCGGATGTAGATGAGGGGACGGGGTAAACTATAAGAATACGTACTTAATAAAAATCAGTAAAAAAAAAAAATTAAATACTTTTTATAACATCAAACATATTTTTCAAAATAGCACAAAGCAGGAGAATAAAATTATTCGAGAAATTGTTCATCTGTAGTTACGGCAAACGGAAGCCATTGTCTACTAACTGCAAAAGCCGCCCATGCTTTATGATAGATTGTGATTTTCAGTTAAATAATGTTTTTTATTTCATTCATCATTTTGTATTGCACGCAAAACAGAAACTTAGTCTACAACAACTTTGTGTTGTGAAAGTCACTTTACTTAACACGTTTTACTGAAGAATGATTTATAAACTGATTATAAAAAGATAATAGCTATAAAGAATAAAACATTACAATCCAGTTTCGAAACTGTTGGTAAAGGTACAATGTACTTACATAAAAAATGCATACAATAGCCAATTATTATTTCAATAATATTTTCATTCCCTGTGCAGCACAGATGGTGTTGGTTGTCCACTGGGTGCAAAGGTGCAACGACAAATAAAGCTTCTCATTCAGTATTTACTGTCAAAGAAAACAGCAAACATGAGAAGGGACGAAGCATCTAGTATTTACTCTCTGCAAGAACCCCCACTGTTTAGGAGGGAAAAAAGACCAGTCTTTCACAGGTCAGTTAAGTTCACACCCCTGCCTGGAATTTGTGAAGCGTCTGTTTCATTGAAACTTGACAGAGGAGAATGGTGGTTGGGGGAGGTGGTAGCAGATTAGATGTAACGTTTAATTTGTCATTACAGTCAAGTTTTGGTTGTGAGTGATGAGAAAACAAAAGCAAGAAAATCGTGGTTGACTTTTTCAACTTCATTTTCAAAACATTCCAGAGAAATCCGGTGAGAGCCAAAAACATCAGGTCAGTGAAAGACAAGAAGGGATTGAAAAAAATGAAGACAGTTACAGCGTGCTCCGGGGGGTGGTGCTCACCCAGCACCATGTGCTTTTATATGGTAATGTATAACACTAGTTCAATGACAGTCCCTGGATCAAACCTGTTTTCAATCCAAAGGAAAAGCTCAGTTTGCAATATCTTAAGAATAAATCTGTCAACATCATATCATTTTCAATATAATAAAATATACATTATGTTGTCCAAACACTAAAACTTTAGTTGTCCCTTAGAAATTCAAATGTTCATTGTATACGTGTCACCAATTGATGGCAGTAATGAGCCAAACGGTGGTGGCATCCACATGTGAAATACCAAAGAATGGGTTTATAGTGCACATGCGCATGTTTTGCAACATGGCGGCCTCCATAAGGAAGGTGGAAAAGGAACGATGCATTTCTTTTTAACTCTGACAGGAATTTTATACACAATTTGTCGAAGAGTTATGAGTTAACCCCGATTCGTAGGAGCCGTGTTATAGTTATTTATAGTTTCTATTTGTATAAGTGCGTGGATATAGTAAATATATTATATGAGCCAAAACGTAGACATTATGTATGGAAAATTACTTCCTTATGTAGTTTGTTATGCTGGATCAAGACTGTATTTTTATCCATAGAAGTTTGAACAAGACTGTATTTTTATCCATAGAAGTTTTCCCTTTTCTGTAGAGGTCACGGTGAGCAATAGTTTGTGTTTACGTGAATCAGTGAGAAATATTAATTTCAGTTATTGCTTCTGAAATGGTTAAAATCATGATAATTTGTAGTTTAGTTGTAGGCTTCTTTTACAAACAATGACGTCATGTCCAGGTCAGGGCTTATGAGTCCATGTAATAGCTTCGTTTGAGTCAAACCTAAAGCTAAGTTTATACGATGTTTTGCAGGAGAGCCCTGGTGGGTTTTCCAAATGCGAAATTGTTCTTCTGTGATAGGTTTAAACACCGCTTTCTAAGATCACTAAAATTCCCCAAACACACTATTCAATTCCACAATGGTTGTTACACCAGAACCACAAGAACACTCCACACCAGTGCCCCGTTACTGGGGGCCAAGTTACTGTCCGTGGATGAGCTTTTCGCACGGAAGTCTCTGCAGGAGCACCTGAAGAAAATACAGTCGGAGTACAACCAGTGTTTACAGGCTGTCAACCACGGTGGCGCTGAGGAGCAGTGCAGAGAGGAGGAAATGAGGACCAGGAGGAGCAAGTTGTCCCAGATGGTCCCACTCATCCAGAACATTATGGAGCTGGACACCAAATATAAAGAGATGGCTGAGAATGAGGCGCTGCTTAAAGGTCAGCTTCCTCGCAACATTTTAACAACCTTTATACATTTAAAACAATGTACTCAGTTAACCTCTACTCTTACAAAGTCACAGTTATTAGTATTTAGCATTTGTTTCTTTGTTTTTTTCTCTCTGATGGATGAAGACCCTGCCCTGAAGGAACTGGCTGAGCTGGAAAAAGAAGAGTGTTTACAACATATACAAGATCTGAGAGAGAAGGTACATATGTGGGATATCTACTTTAACATGAATAAATAAATACATTTCGTGACAGTCTAAATGTTTTGTTTTAATGTCACCTCTCTGATGCTTCAATGGCAGATCTTGGATCAGTTGGTCCCTGAAGAGGAGGCTGATTTGAGTGACCTGGTTCTGGAGGTCACAGCTGGTGTTGGTGGTCAGGAGGCCATGCTCTTCACTGCCGAGGTACAGAATACTGTCGTACTTTGTATGAATAAAAGAGATGGTAATAAAAAGAAACAAATTGTAGCAAAATTAAGTTTTTTGTTTCACTTTGAAGGTGTTTGACATGTACCAGGGTTTTGCTCAGCATCATGGCTGGACTTTTGAAATCCTGGAGAATGCACCCAGTGAGATAGGTCAGTGATCTTTTTTTCTATTTGTATGAAAAAAATCTTAGCTGTCAATACCAGATGTAAGTCATTTGTCTCATTGAGATGCCATTTCTCAAGCACTCCATGAATTTGAATTCGTTTAGTGCATATTTAGTTGGCATGGTTAAGAAATTGCAATAATTTTGAGTTGCCACTAGAGGGCAGCAAATCCCGCATTAAAACACCAATTCTTATGGAA